GGATAGAGCCCTGTGTCCATGCTAAGAGTGGAGCCTGCTTGGGATTCTCTCTCTCTCTCTCTCTCTCTCTCTCTGTCTCCCCTTCCCTCTCCATCTGCCCCTTTCCCCTGCTGGCACACACTCTGTCTCAAAAAATTAAAAAAAAAAATAAAATATACTGGACCAGGCTCCTGCCCTCTAGACTGACTTCCATAAACCGGATTCCAATAAAATGTAAAATATATATATAATTAATAAAAGCACACTTTATTTTCATATGATAAGCTGACAAAATGGTTGCACTTGCTCTGGACAGTCCTTGTTCTCAGCAGAACTGCTGTTAAGGACTATAACTCGCTTTAGAGACTATGCATATATTCACCGACTGTGTGTCAGCCCAAGAAAAGTTTAACAAAACTGAGGAATGGGTGCTGAAGAAACAAGGATTCTGGAGCCTGCAGGGCATGACTCGGATTCTCCTTGAACGTCATTCTGTCACTTTTGCAAGCCAGCGTCTCCGTCGTCACCCCCCACAGCTGGGGAAAGGCTGGCAGGACAGATGAAAGTCCCCACTGCTTCCCCTCTGGCCTCGTGGATGTCTGGGTGTTTTCCTCTGTGTGCCTCCACTAGAATCACCAGAATTTTCTAAAGGCGGTTGGGATCCGGGATGACGGAGACATAGGAGGACAAGGGAACTCTCAGGACCGCCAGCCGGCTGGATGTACCACAGGGGAATGTGGTACATTCCCTCCAGGGGAATGACCCTGCGCTGCCTGGGGTGAGGGGACAGGGGCTCAGGGGAGATACTTGCCAGAGTGACAGCAGCACCAAGAGCACCTAGTGACCCTTGGCAGTCCCTCTGCTGTGGGGAAGGGCCATTGTCCCATCTCGTGGCTGGTCACCTGGAGAGCTGTCTCCCATCGTCTCTCTGCAGGTTTGGGGGCAGTCCCCCTAACCCCAGTCTGTTTCTCTCTGCCGATCCTGGTACCTGGAATTTGCCACAGTGAATTCAGGTTTTAGCATTTGCCTTCCCAGACAGCATTTGCATCCAATCTCTTTTGAAGCCGTTGGTATCTTAGTAAAAAGTGGTCCTGTGGCGGCCTTCAGCTCTCTGGAAGGACCTGGAAGAATCGGGACTTAGGGCGGGTAAGTCTTGGTGTGAGAGTGTGTGTGAGGGTGTGTAGCCAGGAACCGGGGCTGTTATAGGGGGAGAAGAGTGTTCTTTAAAAGTAAACAAGACAACGGCACGCCTGGGTGGCTCAGTCGGTTGAGTGTCCCAATTCCACTCGGGTCGTGATCTCACCGTTCGTGATCTCACCTCTTCGTATTCTGTGTCTCCCTCTCTCTCTGCTCCTCCCCTGCTCACAGGCTGTCTCTCTCTCAAAAATAAATAAAGATTAAAAAAATTGTTTTTTAAAGGAACAAACAGGGTGGGGAGGCAGTAGGGAGTCAGGAAAGAGGGATGCTGAAGAGGGAGGGGGGAGACTTGAAAGCTTCCCAGTTTCCCAGGGAACACCTTGCACGCTACAGGGCAGGAGGGTCAGTCCTGCTCTGGGGGCTTCTGGAAGGCACACGGGAGTCAGAAGGCTCGGTGGCCGCCCTCCGGGAGAGGCTGGTGGGGAAAGGAGACAGGAGGCCAGGGTTGTGGGTTTCCCCTCGGCCCTTCCGCTCAGCCAGACCCTCAGGGCAAATGCTGGCATCCTCAGACTGCAATCTACACCCTCGCTGTTTACTTTGCTCTCTGCGCAGCTCTTCCTTGAGACTTTTCCAGGAAAAGGCCATGCTCAGCCCTGATGCACATTCTCCAGCTGCCTGAAAAACAAAAGAGAAAGAAGCTAGTTTCCCCTCCTCCTCTTGGGCTGCCCAACAAGAGCTCCCCAAGAGTTATTTTTTTTTTTTTTCAACGTTTATTTATTTTTGGGACAGAGAGAGACAGAGCATGAACGGGGGAGAGGCAGAGAGAGAGGGAGACACAGAATCGGAAACAGGCTCCAGGCTCTGAGCCATCAGCCCAGAGCCTGACGTGGGGCTCGAACTCACGGACCGTGAGATCGTGACCTGGCTGAAGTCGGACACTTAACCGACTGCGCCACCCAGGCGCCCCTCCCCAAGAGTTATTAATGAGGAAACCGAAGCCCAGGAGCACCAGGCTAGCATTCTGGCTGAATGAGATGGACACATGAACTGTCTTCATGTCTGAGGACCCGATGTTTTCCGAACTAGCACACTGAATCCTGGAAATGGTTTTTCCTTGGAAAAATTAAGGACGTGGTAATCAGCCCAACAGGGCCTGGCGATGATGTCTCATTGGTGAAGTGAGTGCTATTCGTGGGATGCGAACTGGCTAAAATACTTCACCCGCCTCGCCCCTGGCGGGAGCACAGTGCGAGAGAGAAGCCCGGAGCCTGTCTCTTGAGGGATGGCATCTGAAGCTTGACTCGTAAACTCTCCCGTGCCCCGCCTCCGGGGGGGATTTCTGGTTGCCTGATGCTGGCCATGCGGGCACCAGGACCCTGCCTTGAGTGAGCCTTTCATGCAAGGCGTGGGCACAGCACGTGACAGGATGGTGGGTTCATGTGCTTCCAGAACAGGCTGGATGAAGGGCTCCGTGCCTCCTTGGCGAACGCGTGTTTAATCAATACTGAGGTGTGTGATGTGCTCAGCTTTTGTTATAACACGAGGGGGAGGCCTGGGGAAGTGGCTAACAGTCAGACATTTCCCTGGCTACCATTATTCACCAATGGAAACCCAAAGAACTGTGCAGGAAAGCGACAGCTCAGCTGATCTGCCATAGTGGGGGCCAGGCTCTGGCTCACAGAACTGGTTCTGGGCCCACAGGAGGCCCCTCACGGCCGCCCTTCCTCTTCACGTGGTAGGCCCTCAGCACAGACAGGGGGTCTGGTCAGGTGGGGCTGGAGGGACAGAGCCTTTCTTCTTCTTTCTCAGTGCTCCTGACGATGAAATGGACATCTGTCATGAGACATGAAAAACAATCACAGTAAGTAAGGGGCGCCTGGGGGGCTCAGCCCATTAAGCGGAGGACTCTTGATTTCAGCTCAGGTCATGATCTCGCGGTTTGTGGGTTCAAGCCCGGCTTTGGGCTCTGCTCTGACAGTTTGGAGCCTGCTCCGGATTCTCTCTCTCTCTGCCCCTCCCCACCCCCACGCTCTCTCTTTCTCTCTCAAAATAA